TGAGGTTCGCAAGCCAGCTCAAATATATATATATATATATAATAACATTATAATTATTAATTATTATAATTCTTAATTTTTTAAATATGAAATAAAAAATATTTTTATATACAATTTTTATTTTTCTAAAATATTTTTTCTCAAAATCGAGCTCAAGCCGAGCCGAGCCGAGCTCGAGCCTTGTAGAACAGTCTCGAGCTGAGCTCGAGCCTGGTACTATTCGGCTCGGCTCGGCTTGAATCCACCCCTAATGAGAACCCTGTAAAGGCTTTGGTTCATCAAGCAATAAATATGATTGAGGCTGCAGCTGGAGTACCTAGAGTTGAAAATTTGGATGGTGAATGCCCTTCTGCTGTGCTAACTTCTCAGTTGCGGGTGCTCTTCCTTCATGCAAATTTTGGCCTAGAGGAAGCCAACATTCTATCTTCTGTTAATGAATTAGTAGCTGTCTAGTGGTCACTTAGGCAGAGGAGAGTTTCACTCTTTGGACATGCAGCTCATGGTTTTATGCAATACCTTTCACCTTCATCCTCCTTACTTTTTGAAGGTCACCTAGCTGGCTCTGATCCTGATTTTCTAAATATGGCTGAAAAATTAATGAAACTGATATTCTCCACTTTCAATTGAGCCTCTCCATCTCTGTCACACGCACAGACAGACAGAGAGTCCAAACCTGAATGAAGTTGGATATAATTATTTTTCCATCTTCAATGTGTGGCTGCACAATTTGCTTGAAGGTCTGATGACTTATCCTGATGGCCTGAGAAAGTCTCTTGCTTCTCACAGTAAAAGGTTTGATTCTTTCACTCTCTGTAGATACCCTTTGATGATTTATATTATAAATGGATTCTATTGCCTTATTTACATGGTCAAATATATCCTTGCCCCTATGTGATAGGTATCAAGAACGCAACAACATATAATTCTGAAATACTTTTACTTTTTGCAAATTTGAAACATGCCATATGTTGATAATGCAATCACATTGCATATTTGCTTTAGATCATCATTTTCTTTGCTTCCTTAATTGATAGAAATTCATGAAACAATGATATGGTAAAATTCTAGAATCTCCTACAAGAAAATTCTACTTAATGATTGAATATATAGAATGAGAAATATATATTGCATATTTGCAAATCTTTTCTGTTAACAAATACGGTATTCATTCAGTGTTTTGTGCATGTAATCTCATGTCAATTGAAAACCCCATATCTTAAATATTTGTGTCAGGCTAGATTGCAATGCACATTTTCATTGCAGGAGAATAAATTTGAACCTGGTCTATTGATTCCAAGTTCAAATGCCTAATTTATAGAGATGGTTGGTCAGTCTTCAAATTGGGCAACTGTTAAAACACTTTTTTATATGATGGGAACTTAAAAATGAAATCAAAATACAAATTTCAAACTTGTGTCGAGACATTTTCATTCATTGGCTTTTATGCACAACATTCTTTTATAAAGTTTTCCCAAGGATCTGTAGTGGTCAGATTTGACTTTTCCCATAAATGCACATATATACGAATAAAAAGGTTTGTTTACATATAATATTTCTTGTACCTATTTATGATGTCAGAGGTTTACTGTTGGATGACATTTGGCATCTAACTTGGGCTATATTAGGAAGTATTGATTTTATTAGCAATTTTCGTCGGCAACAATATTCCACTCTTTTCTGTTAAATTTTCTTATGCTTGAAGTTGACAAGTTTTAATATAATAATGTAAAACATTTAACTCTTCTAAACCATTTAAAGTTTATCTATTNTTAATATAATAATGTAAAACATTTAACTCTTCTAAACCATTTAAAGTTTATCTATTACTTTCTCTTTGTTAGAAAGGACTTTTTTCCTACCATTTCATTGTGTTCTTTYTATACTTYATGCATCCAGGAAATATAATCTAGTCATAAAGAAGGTACTTGCTATCATTCAAAATGGCTTAAAATACCTGTTCTGTTCCGTTCTTGTAGGTCAGCAGATCCTGCAAGTTTGGGCACAGTTAGAGTTGACATCTCAGAAAGGAATTGGAATGAACTTGTGAGAAAGGAATTTCAGAGCTCTTTGGTTGCTGGTGTTCCATTGACTATTGTTCCCGAGCCCACACAAGCACAATGCCATGATGTTTCTCATGTATTAATTTGTATTAGAGAAATTGTATTGATTTGAAACCTAACATGTATTAATTTCTAATTCGAATATATTAATGTTTTTGGTAAGAAAATATTTGAATGGAAATAGATCTTTTAAATTGCATTTATATTGATTTTTGTACTTTTTTATGTTAATTGGATATTGTATTTAAATAATTTGTTTTGGATATTATAATAATTAATAATTTAATTAAAAGTTTTTTTTATTTAAATTGATTTTTTATGCATTATCTGTCATGAGATTTGTATTAAATAGGTGCCCAAAAAATGTTGAAATTGATATAAATAATAAAAAATAAAAAAATCAAAGCCAACGGTCATACAAATGCCGCTTTAGGCATAAAACATCTCTAAGACGGCGGTCTTGACCACTGCCTAAAACCGGAAGCAATATATCAATGGACCTAAGGCGGCGGTCCAAAGAGCTCTAAGACGGCGGTCCTGACCGCCATCTAAAAACGAAAGCAATATATTGATGGACCTAAGGTGACGGTCCAAGGAACTCTAAGACGGCAGTCCTGACTACCACCTTTATTAACTCTAAGCCGGCGGTTATGACATACTGCCGGTTTAGATAACTGTCGGCTTAGGGATGATTGAACCACGTCAGACCGATCCTTAAAGGCGGCGGTCTTGACCTAAGCCGGCAGAGGTTTAGGGGGCGGACTGAAGACCGTCGTCTTAGACCAAAGCCGGTGGTCTTCTTGTAGTGTGAATTAATTGACCTGGGTCCAGCCTAGTTCATTTTCAAGTGCTGATAGCTTATTTCACGTAGGATGGGGCAAACTTTTCTCTATGTGCTATGCTGGGTCATATCTAACCTAACATAATATATTAAAGGAATGTGTGTCAGGTAACAGCCCCCTACCCTTCAAACATGTTCTTTAGAAATACATGAGAAGTGGGAAGCTCTCATTCTCAATCTATTCCTAAAAAATGCAGAAATTGCAAAAGTGATTAACCACAACCACTTATGCTTACATTCTCGGTCAATGTCAATCAATCATTAACCCTTTGCCTATCATTCGTCATCTAACCGAACTATCATTTTCCCTCTCAAATGCATCAAACTGCAATTTTTCATCTCTCAATCTTCATCTTAATGAATCTGGATCTCAATCAATCTCAGTGAATCTCCATTAAACTGCAATTTTTTAGTTTGCAACCTTTCATGTATTGAATAAACCTATCATTTTCCCTTGGATCAATCTTCTTCTAATTTGAAGTATTGAAAATTTTCTATAATTAATAGTCTCTGGACCGATTTTATTCAACCTCTGTAGTTTACAGTTTTGGATTTCAATAGTTAGTTTTATTTGAATTTCAAAACATTTGTTCCAACCAATTCATCAACACCCGTTACATCCAAACTGCAAAAACTTCCGCGTGATTGATGTTGGCTGGCAGGGGCATAGCGAGTAGTAATAGTTGGGCCCTGTTAAATTTTAGCACAAATCGTCACCTAAGAAGACAGGGCCCTTTGAGAAGAAAACCAGATGTTTTTGTTTTTACTACCGGCTACTATTATAATGTATATGAGATCTCTGACCACCGGTGATCATTTATGGGTTTCCTCCAATGGCCAAGAGGGTCATATGAAGGTAGAATACAACAGCTCTATTTATTGTTATTGTAAATTCACACCTGAGAAGAAGGTAGAATCCGAGCCATTTTTTTTTAATAAAGGAGAATACCGGCTGTTCTTTAACGTTTGATGAGATCATTGACCACCGACGATCTCTTATGGGTGGTCGCCGGTGGCCGGGAAGTTCATATGACCAATGTATAGGAAGTTGGATACGAGGTGTTTTTCTAAATGCAGGCGACCACCATCTCTTCTTTAAGGTAAGATGAGATTGCTAACCACTAGCGATCATTTATGGGTGCCATTGGTGGCCGAGAAGGTCGTACCATAGCTGTTGATGACACCGTCGGTGGTCAAGTTTCGCACGAACCATTGCCTGAGACGACAATAGTTCGACTTAGAATACCGGGTCCCATTACTTCTTTTGTCTATAGTAATTAATAATCAATATTTATAAATACTAGTTAATAATATTAATAATAATCATTAGTGATTATTCATAAATGCAAAATAATAATTAACAAATAGAAGAAATAATAATTACAAACCATTGCCTGAGACGACAATAGTTCGACTTAAAATACCGGGTCCCATTACTTCTTTTGTCTATAGTAATTAATAATCAATATTTATAAATACTAGTTAATAATATTAATAATAATCATTAGTGATTATTCATAAATGCAAAATAATAATTAACAAATAGAAGAAATAATAATTACACGGTTGGAAATCAATTTGCTTTGGATTAGAATTGTTATTATAATACAATAATAATCACTAATGAAAAATAATAATATTCTTTAAATAAGTAATTAAGTCAATATTTTAAAAAGAATAATTTTTAAATAAATATTTAATTAATTACTAAAATAGTTAGTAATATTATTAAATAAAAAAAAAGATTAATTAATTACTAAAATGGAATAAAAATTCATAAGTGTGCCTAAACCATTAAAAAATTATCAAAATAATGAATTAGATTATGATTAAAAATTAATAAATAAATAAAAACAATAAAAAATTAAATAAAAATTAATAAAAATGACTAAACAATTAATACAAATGTTGGAAATCAAACTTGAGTGAATTTTCCCATACTTAGTTTGGGGTCATTCACTAACTAAATCTTTGTAATTCAATCTCTTAATTCAAATATAAATATAATTATTAGATAAATAGTGAAACTCGGATAAAATAATATTACTATAAAAAGCAAAAAAAAAAGTAAAAACCAAAATGATACATACGTGTGGCTACCCGTAATTGGGTCACACACTAGATAAAATATGGTAAATCTCTTGAATCAAATAAAATCTATTAAAAAATCAAATGAAAAACCTAACCTAAATTTTTAATATAAGTGATTTAAAAAAATGAAAATTTAAAATAATTCATATTAGTAGCCATGTACTAAGTACTGTTAAACAGTGTATGTCCTTAGTTCCAATCAGATTAATGTACATATACATTTATTGTAAATGAATAAAAGTACATTATTGTTTCATGTTGATATTGGTATGTTTTTGTGAAATTACCCCTTAAATTGGACATTTATGAGACTCGTGTTAGTTTATAATGTTCATAGCCGTTGAATAGACTTGGGGAGTTTATCCTACCAAGGCTGACACGATGTGTTGCCAAAGAAGTTGGGGCAATTTGTCTCAATTGTTAGGGTTAGACCCAAAGCACATGCAGTGTGTGTTTGGTTGAAACATTGAACCTAAACCATTTTCCAGTTATGCCCTATACCTTAGAGATTGATGGATAAAACTAGAAAGTTACACATAACCCCTAGACTTGATTATAGTACTACACTAGGTGTTGGATTGAATTGTCTTTGATATGCCAATAAGTGAAATCCATTGAGGGTCAAAACCTGGGTTTGTTCGGCCAGTTTGAGAATTCATCTGCGTGGGTGATCATAGTGATAGAATTGGCCCCTTTATCAGACAAAGTGAATGATAAGGTTTATACTATTTTTGATGGAAACCTAAACTATCGGTAATGGATTTCAACTGTGTTTGAGATTTGGTTTTGCAAAACATAATATATATTATGCCTGGGATCCATCTGAACAGAGAGTGTGACACTACATAGATGAATTCCTAGATCCATCCAAATTAGATTTGGATAATCTCCTAATTTGATTAGGAGAAGTGCTCCATAAAGGGATAAAAGAAGAAGAGGGCGAACTAGACTAAAACACCTCTCTCTATTTTGTTCTCTCTTCTTCTTTTTGTTTCCCAAGAAACCTTATTTTGACCACAGTTATTCTGGGACTGATAGATATTAATTTTCTTCTGATTTTTGCAAGAAAAATCCATAAGAATTTCATGCTCACCTTCCCTAGTTCGATCCAAGCAGTTGGATTATAGTTTTGTTGAAAACTATGTTGTTGAACCAGTTTCAATAATACATTGTGCCATATTCAGTGGAGGCTAGTTTTAGGACTGATTTTAGCGTGAACTTCTACAATGGGATCCGTGTTTGCAGTATTTGTATCAGATATACATCTTCATATTTGGTTGGTTTCAAATATGGTCCGATTTAGTGCAAGACCGATCTTGAAAAATGTAGTTTTTTAAAACATAAGGAATTCGATTCCCGGAAGGATTAGGAAATTTTTAAAATTTCTCCTAGCCATCTAGTATGATTCGGCTATCCATGTGATGAATCCTAACACTTTCTTCAAGTACGGGAGTCATGCCTATTATAGAATATAAATGATGGGTTAATTCATTGTCACCGTTCATCCATCTTATCAAATTGTCTACAAGAAGTCTCTTATCTAGACCTTGTGAAAACTCTACTCATTTACATTGGAGCCAATCACCTGGAAAAGCCAGCTAAAATGTGAACTTAACAATCTAAATGTTCAACTCTTGCTCAATATGCAACTAACTATATTTTCATGGACATGGCATACAACTGAAGTATTCATCACCTAAAACAGATGTTACTAGGCTAAAGGGGTATTCCATAACATGGATGAAAAATTGGTGGGTGTGGATTGGTCCATAGCACACCTTATGGTAGTAACCAATCCACACCACACCACTGTTCACAGTTGTTCTGAACTATGGATAGACTGTGTGGATTGAACCGGTCCACACCCATAGTGGCGTTCTGTAAGCGTGGTGTAGATACTTTTTGATTCCATGTATCTCATATACATTTTATGAATGATTTACATAGTTAATCATAAATATTTAATTTTTGTATTTTATATGATACTATTCGGGTCATGGCTGAACTGGTCCTGAGAGACACGTGGCCGCCCAGTCATCGCCCAATCAGCCCGACCACGTTGGCTTAGCTCGGCCAGCTTCGCGGCATACATGGCCTTTGCGACCTAGGCCGGGCTACGCTATTACTGTGGCCCCCCATCTTATCCTCTCAGCCACGTCACGCAGATGAGAATGACTAAGGATAAGGAGGAGTAAGACTCTAT